TACAGCTGAGTTTGTCAAAAGTTACGCTGTACGTAAGAAACACTCCATGCACATATTTAGAATAGAATTAATCACAAAAAAACTGCCGAGTCATCACAGAGAAACTGCTGTGATGTTGAGTCATCACAGAGAAACTGCCGAGTCATCACAGAGAAACTGTTGAGTCATCGTAGAGAAACTGTCGAGTCATCACAAAGAAACTGTTGAGTCATCGTAGAGAAACTGTCGAGTCATCACAGAGAAACTGCTGTGATGTTGAGTCATCACAGAGAAACTGCCGAGTCATCACAGAGAAACTGTCGAGTCATCACAAAGAAACTGTCGAGTCATCACAAAGAAACTGTTGAGTCATCGTAGAGAAACTGTCGAGTCATCACAAAGAAACTGTTGAGTCATCGTAGAGAAACTGTCGAGTCATCACAAAGAAACTGTCGAGTCATCACAAAGAAACTGTTGAGTCATCGTAGAGAAACTGTCGAGTCATCACAAAGAAACTGTCGAGTCATCACAAAGAAACTGTTGAGTCATCGTAGAGAAACTGTCGAGTCATCACAAAGAAACTGTTGAGTCATCGTAGAGAAACTGTCGAGTCATCACAAAGAAACTGTCGAGTCATCACAAAGAAACTGTTGAGTCATCGTAGAGAAACTGTCGAGTCATCACAGAGAAACTAGAGTCATCGTAGAGAAACTGTCGAGTCATCACAAAGAAACTGTTGAGTCATCGTAGAGAAACTGTCGAGTCATCACAGAGAAACTAGAGTCATCGTAGAGAAACTGTCGAGTCATCACAGAGAAACTGCCAACTGCTGAGTCATCAAACTGTTGTCACAGTTACAGAAGCTGTAGGAGGCGTGACCGTGTATATGTGGGCGTGGTCATGTGGGGAGGTCCTGGACCAGGGGAGGGGGGTTCTCAGAGCTCAGATCCACCTGAAGAACAAAGAGGAGATTGTTGATAAATCACCGGATCTCTTCTCTCCTGTGGTGTGTGTGTGTGTGTTGTGTGTGTGTGTGTGTGTGTGTGTGTGTGTGTGGGGGGGGTGTGGACATTTAGAGGCGGAGTCTCTGAGACGTCTGACACTTTTCTTCACTCGTTTCATTTCTTTTCAAAATGGCGTTGGTACTGACCTCGCTGTAGGCGGGGGGAGGGGAGAGGAGGTGTGACAGTAGGGGCGTTCTCATGAACAGCCCGCCCTCGTCGTCGTCCTCTCCCCCGTCATAGTCTTGTAGCAGGGGGGTGAGCGTGGCGTCCCCCCTCAGGTGGATGTTGCTGTAGCTCGGGGGGGCGGAGGGGAGCGAGGCCCAGCTGCTCAGCGACGCCCCCCCCTGGCTGCTCATGCTGCTCGTCCTGCTGCCCACGCCACTGAACGGGATCGTCCCGATGACCAGCGGCAGCTCCACCGCCAGCTTCTCGCTGCCAGGGACGTGCAGGTAGATCTGTGGGGACAGGGCCTGTTAGTGTGTTTATCTCGTCGCTGTGTGATGATGTCATCAGCTGGACTCACCATGAGGGCGTAGTCCACCCTGATGATGTCACAGCCCTGCAGCGTGGGCTTCAGCTTGGGGACTCTGATGGTCTTTCCCTGCCACATGTCACACATCCCCGAGATGATGTGGTTCCCCCTCGCCGCCGCCAGCTTCTGACGCAGCACCTGACAGGTCAAAGGTCAGACAGACTCACAGAGTTCTGTAAACCAGACAGGAAGTGACATTGTGTCCGTACCTTTGTGCATCCGTCTGTGATGTATGTTTGTTTGGCGATGATGGCGGCCTTCGGCACGACGATGCGTGAACACGTGTTCTCGAACTTGGCGTTGATATCGATGTCCTCGCCCTCACAGAAGCCCTTCCTGTTGATCTGAGCACTGATTGACACCTGTCCGTCAGGGATGAACATGCAGGTGACTTTTTTCTGAGCCGAGGCTGCAGCCGGAGCCTGACAGGAAACAGGAAGTGGCTCAATGACATTCAGACCCTGTCAGGTAGAGTCACAGGTGGTGTGTGTGTGTGTGTGTGTGTGTGTGTGTACCAGCAGGTCTGGTCGGTTCACGTCCAGCGGCTCCTCCACCTCAAACTCACGCTCACACTGCAAAGCATTCTGGGAAGGTCTGTCCAGAGACGCACGCACGTAGTACCGAACGGAGCCAAACTTTCCTTTATAGGACGACACAAGACGCCTGCAACACGACAGAGACGGATAACAGATCTATAACTGATCTATAATAGATCTATAACTGATCTATAACAGATCTATAATAAATCTATAACTGATCTATAATAAATCTATAACTGATCTATAACAGATCTATAACAGATCTATAACTGATAACAGATCTATAACAGATCTATAACTGATCTATAACAGATCTATAACAGATCTATAACTGATAACAGATCTATAACAGATCTATAACAGATCTATAACTGATAACAGATCTATAACAGATCTATAACTGATAACAGATCTATAACAGATCTATAACAGATCTATAACTGATAACAGATCTATAACAGATCTATAACTGATAACAGATCTATAACAGATCTATAACAGATCTATAACAGATCTATAACTGATCTATAACAGAGCTATAACTGATCTATAATAGATCTATAACAGATCTATAACTGATAACTGATCTATAACAGATCTATAACAGATCTATAACAGATCTATAACTGATCTATAACAGAGCTATAACTGATCTATAATAGATCTATAACAGATCTATAACTGATAACAGATCTATAACAGATCTATAATAGATCTATAACAGATCTATAACAGATCTATAACTGATCTATGACTGATCTATAGTAGATCTATAACTGATAACAGATCTATAACTGATCTATAACAGATCTATAACTAATCTATAACTGATAACAGATCTATAACAGATCTATAACTGATAACAGATCTATAACAGATCTATAACAGATCTATAACTAATCTATAACTGATAACAGATCTATAACAGATCTATAACTGATAACAGATCTATAACTGATCTATAACAGATCTATAATTGATCAGAGTCTCACCCGGCAGCGGGCAGCTCGAAGCCAAACAGGAAATTGTAGGTTTTTCCGGCCTGCAGCAGGAAGTTACCGTTTGAGCCTGAACAGAGAAAAAAAAACACCAATAAAAAGAATCAATAAAGACATGATCCATGACTCTTTAACTCATAATGACTCTTTAACTCATTAATACTAACAGCTCTTTAACTCATAAATAATGACTCTTTAACTCATTAATACTAACGGCTCTTTAACTCATAAATAATGACTCTTTAACTCATTAATACTAACAGCTCTTTAACTCATAAATAATGACTCTTTAACTCATAATGACTCTTTAACTCATTAATACTAACGGCTCTTTAACTCATAAATAATGACTCTTTAACTCATTAATACTAACAGCTCTTTAACTCATAAATAATGACTCTTTAACTCAATAATACTAACTACTCTTTAACTCATTAATTAACATTTAGCTCCTCCACCTTTAATAAGCTCCTCTTGCTCACCAAGATCCACCTCCTCATCTTTATTAAGCCCCTCCTCCTCACCTTTACTAAGCTCCGCCTCCAGTCGTAGCTCCTCCTCATATTTCAGGTACTCGACCTCCTGGCAGCAGTTCTTGCGTTTCTTCCCGCCGCGATGGTCAACACGGGCGCAGCCAGCTGCGGTGACAGTGAGGCGGACGACTCTACATGTGTGAGCGGCCTCCAGCTGCACGGCGCCCGACAGTTTGTCCCCGCTACAATAGAAGGAGCGAGCAGGGTCAGAAAGAAGGAGCCTGAACACATGGAGTCTGTTCTCATTGGACAGAACCATGACTACTGAGTGACGGATCAGGTCTTAGTCTGGTCCGCTCTCAGACCGGGGTTATATACTGGCGAGCTGGGGGGGTGAGGAATGGGTCTCTGTGTCCTGTTACCGCCCACAGAGCAGCATGCTTTCACAGTGTGGACACACCAAGCTAAAGGTCTGATTGGTTAGAGCAGTCTATATGACAGATTGTAGCCAATCAGAGTACAGTGAAGCAGCGTGGTCAGCTCGTGCTTCAGGGGGGGCGTGGCCTGAACCTGCAAGCCAAAAATAAGATTCAATGAGTTAAAAGAGTAAAGTCATCAGAGTCAGAATAGAAACAGATTTACTAGACAGCTGCTGAACAGACAATAATAACCCAACCAAAACAACAACAAAGAGACAAGAACAACACATACAACAACACAGAGACAACAACACACAGAGACAACAACAACAACAAAGAGACAACAACACACAGAGACAACAACAACACACAGACAACAACAACAACACAGAGACAACAACAACAACAACAAAAGAAGACAACAACAACACATACAACAACATAGAGACAACAACACACAGAGACAACAACAACAACAAAGAGACAACAACAGAGACAACACAGAGACAACAACAACAAAGAGAGAACAACACAGAGACAACAACAACACACAGAGACAACAACAACAACAAAGAGACAACAACAACACATACAACACATACAACACAGAGACAACAGCAACACATACAACAACACAGAGACAACAACAAAGAGACAACAACACAGAGACAACAGTACAGAGACAACAACAAAGGAACAACAACAACAACACAGAGACAACAGTATAGAGACAACAACAAAGAAACAACAATACACAGGGACAACAACAACAACACAGAGACAACAAAGAGACAACAACACACAGGGACAACAACACAGATACAACAACAACAAAGAGACAACAACACACAGGGACAACAACACACAGAACACAAATACAACAACACACAGAGACAAAACAAATACAACACCACACAGGACAACAACAACACTGAGACAGCAACAAAGAGACAACAATACACAGGACAACAACAACAACACAGACACAACAGTATAGAGACAACAACAAAGAGACAACAATACACAGGGACAACAACAACAACACAGAGACAACAA